ATTCTTCCAAACAAGTGCTAGGCCTGAGTTTGGAGTTAGCACAGGCCAAGAGGCATTTCTAGTAAGTTGATGGGATGACTTGTGTGGTTGGAGTTAAGCAATGCGGGTATGACCTGTGATGAGCCAGTTGACCTCATGGTTAGAGAACAGATCTTAGAGCACTTTATTTACATGCATAGATCTATACTCAGGAGATAGGATTAATCTCAATATTTGTTTTTCCACTTCCAGGTGTTCATATCCTGTCCCTTTTGAACATCCACTTATGAGGGACTTCCATTTCCAAGAAATACAAGGTTAAATCTATAATGCAATGGCAGTAGAAACCTTTGGATATCCAGCAAACTAAAACATTCCTCAGCACTGCTTCCACATTTTTGTGCAGTTTGTTACATTGATGGCCGGCTCAAAGAAGCCAACACAATGTGGGTGGATGCCATCAGCTGTCAATGTCCTCAAGGAGTATGGAATAAGACTTGGCCTTCAAAGGAAGTGCCTAGGCCTGGTCTAAAGTGATTGACTCTCCCAGTGTGTAATTTGCAGCTACGCCTTCCCTCTACTGGAAACCCTACCAATGTCAGAAGCCAACCTGTAGTTTGCAAAGAATTAATTTGGATTTATCCACTCAAATTTTATTTACTTACAGTGTTTTAACTGAGTCTCTCAGCTGGATATTACCTTGCTTTTCAAAGATGGCACTGATCACTAAAAGGGTGATTTATCAAATTCTTCACAATTCACTAATAGGTGTATCTCAGTGGTTACTTTCTAGGGAAGGACAAAGCAAAGAGCGTGTTTCTAAGAATGACTACTCTCTTTCCTGATTTCTTTGGAAAAAGACAATAATTAGTAACTGTTGGGATACAAATTTAATCACAATGAACAATAATTCCATAAAATGCAATTCCAATCAATAAGACCAGCCACTGACCAGTCATTTCTCAGCTGGGTTTACAATTTTTCCCACAAAGAGGATGCTTTGAGTATACTGATCAATAATCAACAGCAAGAATGGATGATTGAATCTAACAATGGGAGGAGCAGAATGAGGAAGAAAGTCTATGCTGCTGCCTGCTGCAGCCTCTGTGCCATTCTCATGAATCTTCAGCAGGGCCTTGTGAGTGGCCTACAATAAAATACAGCAAGAATTAATGTAGGTGGAAGATGTGGTGTGAAATTATTCAAATTAACACAAAGATAATTCAATGTTAACACAAAGTTAATTCAATCACTGCCTTTCACAAAGATTGCTGGTAAGCCAGGAACCAGGAGAAAGGACACAGCAGCCCATTGTGGGTTTTTTAGTAATGTTGTCTCAATAAGCAAATATTTACACACAGTGTTCCTCACCACAAGTGTATCAATGCAGACCTTAGTAACTGCACATCTTGTGGAATTAATTGAAAGTAAAATAGCCAAGCAAATTCACAGGGAATGTCAGTTTCAAAGGGAAAGGAAATAAGGCTCCAGAATTGCTCTGTATATGTTCCCAACAGCACATGCATTACAGTTTAACCAGGTAGAAATTCAACCTTGATGCCAAATTTTTTTTTTAGACATTTTTAATCTTTTTCTTTTACTAGCCTCAAGATGTTATAGAATTTTAAGTGCCGTTTTCAGAATGGCTGTACAAATGCTAGTTTTCTTCTTCACAGTATTTTCAGTAAATGGGATGTTTTCCTCAAGTCTGGTCCATTTTATATTTTTAACACTCAACAGAGCCTTCAATGGTAACAGCAGTTTCTAAATCCTTTGAAATTATAGAATGCATGTTAGAAAAGGGTCACTTTTTTGGTGGATATGCTGATGCAAGACATGCACAGCATGGTTACCCATATGCACTTCTTTTACATGTAGAAAATATTCTGTGTTTAGTTTCCTGGTTAAATGTTAAAGCCACTCCTCCATATACCTTCCACCTCTGCTTGTCAGACAAAAGAAAATATCCTTATCTCCAGATCTTGGAGAAGTCTGAGGGAATTTAAATGGCCTTTAACAGCTAAATGTTCTATTTCAGAGTATCAGCCAGTCCTAGCAATAAGTAAAATTTCACAGGTGAGCTTAGGATAAGGCAATTGGCTGTTAAAGAATCCATAGATGGTTGTTTCTGTTGATAAACTTACTTTTGAAACCTTCACATCAGGGTTTCCTGTGATTCCAGACAGATCAGCCCGATTAGAAAACACATCAGTTACACCCAGATTCATTAAGATCCTCTTTAAGTCGTAGGTGCCTGAAATTGATAGCTTGGGAATATGCAATTCCATCCTCCTGTCAATTCAAAAGTAAATTATGGTAGTTACTGCAATCAGAGCATGCCTTGGACTGAAGATTTCTAACTTGATGGTGTTTTTTCTGTGCTAAACGCCTAGTCTTTTCATCTAAAAAATATGGCAAGAGAAAGAATATAGGAAGATGCTGGTCTGGAGGATAGGAAAATATGGAAGGAGAAAGACATCAGTTCATATTCCTTGTATGATTCTGCAACACAGTCTCTGTATGAGACAGTAAACAATAGTGCTGCCAACATTTCTGGGACAAAGTTTGTATTCTTTTTCTAACCTTGAAGGTTCTGCTTTTGGAATTCACACCCCATTCCTTCTGAGGGATCTGACTGCTATGTCACAGTATTACCACTCTTAAAATATTTTGCTTGAGACAGCAGAAAAGGAGACTCTTAGTATCAACTAAAAAAATGTATGGAGGAAAAGACCCAAGTTTCCCACCTCAGAGATCTCTCATTACAAGGCAATGCTGATTCTAATTTTTGCTGAAAGTATCAAATCATTTGGTATGATCTTTTATACTTATTCTGTTGTTTAAACCCTCCATCAAAAATACAACATAGTAACTGTACAACCTGACCTTAGCATTTAGACTTTGGATCCTGACTACCTAGATTCATCAAATCAAAATTCTATATTTACCATCTTTGAAGAGATCTTTCCCATTTAGAAACAGTGTTTTTTGTCAGGGCACGTTCCAACTGTTTCATTTTTCCTTTATTGGGCAGGATAAACAATGCTGCAACATCTCCCTTGTAAGGAATCTGCACCACCTCGCAAGACAGCTTCCTGTCATAGTATGCTTTATAAAATCCATCTCGAATCATCATCTCCACTTCAACTGAGGTCTTTGCATTCACATGGAAATAGTCCTTGTGAGTCCCCTTAATATTGAAAGGATTTTCCCAGTAGGCTTAAAACCAAATGAGAAAGAATGGAATTGAATACTTATTTCAGTGAGGATATATTAATAAAGTCCAGACAAATGTAGAATAAATAAAACCATGTCTGAAGATTTACAGTTATACTTGAAGATAAAAAGTATTCCACGTTTATTAAATATCTTATTCTCTGTAACAATTAAATTTTGTATGGACTTGTACACCATCTTTCTAAGTCAGATAAATTAAATGAAGTAACTTCATCATATTACCTTATGTTTTATTTGAAGCAAATAAAAACTGTCCAGAATTCAGGGATTTGGTATCTCTTTTCAGAATACTGATGGTAAAGCAAGTTTCAGAGCAGATGTCTGGCCTTTAAAAGGTAGCATGTTATGTTCCTCACATGGATTTTATACGTTTTTCATCTTTTCTCACCAAGGAAAAGCTTACATGCTAGAGAAACACAAACTTTTGGACCTGAGCATAACTGCAAGTATGGTAAATGGAACAGGACCTCAAAGTCTTTAGTGTTCAAAATGATTTGCTCTTGATGTTTATTCAATTGAATTTTCTATGGTATTTTATTTTGTAATAAAGCAGGCCCTTCACTAAACAAATAGGGATTATAGCTTGCCATTCTGTAAGTATTTTTTTTGCTTTTTATTTATTTATTTTTTTTTAATGTTGAATAGAAATAGTCTAATTTGAAAAATAAATAATGGAATGTAAACTCCACAGTATTCTGGTTACTTTTTAAGTTTAAGCCTTCTCCCTTGCCCTCCAGAAAAGAAATGTACTCTGGCATGGTACTTAGACTAGGGAACCTGAGATTAGGGCACCCAAATTTATAAAGTTTTTGAAATAAAATATTTTCTATTTTGCTGAAAGTTCATAATTTCAAAATATTCCTTTCTGGGTGGGAAATTCTATGTATGTCCTTCATGCTGCTACAAATGAACATCCAAGAAGTTAATAATTTCCAAAGCAATACATTCAAATACTTCTTGGGATATGTGTAATATGATGACAAGGTGTAGACCACTTGGACTGCAAATCCAGAGGTACCTACCCATTAATAGTCATGGACTATAAGTAAAGTTTTTGGCAATTTTTCTTAATCATCATCTTCAGAATTCAGTTTTCTACTTCACACATACAATGTGAAAACATCTTAATTTTTTAAAAAATAAGTGTATGAAGTCTGACAGGATATTTTAACAATACAGGAATCTGTTGTGCTCTGGCAATTCCCTGGACCTGAACATTGCAAGTAAATGAACTTTTATACTCCCAACTCCAAATATATGCTAGAAAAATTTAGATGTGGAAGAGGTTTCAGATTTGAAAACTTACAATTTTTTCATAGCAATCTAAACACATTCATTTAAAAATTATTCAGAAATAACTTGGTGTACTTGTTTTACTTTAGGTGAAGCAGCACTAAACAGATGCAGTAAGTAGCATCTATGCAACTTACCTTTGAAATAAATGTAGTTAACAATTACCATCAGAGTGTTTGGCTCAAGATCCTCAACTACTTGGTTTATATTCCCATGGGTTTTATTCTTTACATAATCATTGATCTCTTTTTTAGCTTCAGTGGAATTCTGGAAGCTACTAGAGACAGCTTTTCCTCTGTACAGTTTTTTGATGTCCTTCAGAAACGTTTTCATTGGCTTCAGGTGTTTGTCCATGAACAGGGCATTCCCCATGCTCAGCTGCACCTGGCTACCAGGTCGGTTCAGCAAGAGGAGGAGCTGATGAAAGCCATGGTGTATCTCCTCCTTCTGGATGCTGGTGAGGTTAAAGGCCAGTCCTTCCAGCACCTGCACCTGGCTCCTGCCTCGGGAGCCCAGGGCCAGAAGGGCAAGGGCAGTGGAGATGCTGACTGGGGAAAAGAAAATGTTCTTGGTGGGTTCTTGAGTAGTTGCTTGCCTGTAAAACTGAAAGGCAAAGTCTGTATTACTTGTGACTATCCTTTGGCAGGACTCAAGAGGATCTCTCTCGTGGGAATGCTGCTCCTGGTGGTCAGTTGCTTCAGGCTGGGCAGTGTGTTGATCAGCCTGAGTCAGGCTGAGGACACTGAGGTGGAGCACGGCCACCAGCAAGCTCAGTGGGAGCATGGCCTTCATCACTCTTCACAGATACTGTGTGGACAAAGAACAAAAAGTCTTGGGTGGTGGAGGTTGGCTGTATTGACATCTCATCTTTAACTTCTGCCTTTGAGTGGAAATCACTGTTATCTCCTGAACGCCTCCTTTGCCAAGGAAGTGTTTTTTAAATCCTTCTGCCTCCTGTAATTCCTATCCATGGGTGCCTACTTCAGTTCTACTTTACTCCAGCTATGAAAGTTCCTTGTTAGTGGGGAAAGAAACAAACATGTGAGTGTTAAACAAAAATAAGAATCCAAGGGAGAGAAGACGTGAAAAAATGTTTTGTTTTTTTTTTTAATGGCAAAGCAACACACTAGAAGCATTCTGATTCTTTTGTGCTTATCTCTTAAGACCTCTGAGGACTATTATGCTATTAGGGTTTGAATGAGGTTTATGTTAAATGATAGTGCTTCGCTGCTATATCAAAGGAAAACAATACAAGACTGCAGAATTCTTCAAAAATGTTATTTTCCCTTATCCCTGACTCATTTTACTATGCAAAGTGACTAATCATAGGAGCTGGTAAATATTTTCTGCTTCAAGACCTGATTAAATTAGAATATGTTTGTCTATATTAAATGACCACTCATGTGTCACTTGTCTTCCAGATGGGTTCCTTCTTGTGTGTATCCCACATCTGGCTATGGAAAGGTGAGACCGTTAGTGTGGACTTGGCCTCTCCTGTCTTTCCAAGCTTTATATCAGCAGGAAAGTATCCTTTTGTAAGGTAAATATGCCTAAGGCCAGATTAGTACTCAGCAGCAAGACTGGATCAGGGCATCTTGGACATTTGTAGTGACTGTGATCACTTTTCGTATTTGTTTACTGCTTCTCTTTTACCAGTTAGACCAAGAACACACTGGGATGATTTGTGGTGTTTAAGATGCTTAACCTGTCAGAAAACAAGAGCTATTCTCATTAAAAATATGATGCCAGTGACTAGAAAAGCTCAAATAGCCTTCATCTAATGTCCTACTTGAAACAGAACAGTTTCAGGTAGAAACCTTAACCTGCTTACCCTGCAGTCAATGGTAAAGGCACTCAAAGACATGGGTTCAGCAGAGCAGATGACATATTTACTGGGATTTTCTCCACCCTGGGACAGCACTCATACCACTATGGTTTGGGTGAAAAGGAGCCAGCTTGTTATTCTGCAACTTTGCTCTGTGTGATTTGGGTAAATTGGAATTTACAGAGGACCTTGGTATTGCAAAATTATTTTGTGAATTCTGTCTGGGCCATCTTAGTGTAAGCAAGACATTTACTCATTTACTTCAGTTTTGGTTATCCGATTGTAAGCTTTAGGGAAAATTTGTAATGGTAAATAAAATTGACAGTTGAGAAGTCAGACTGCTTCTGTTATTGAAGCATAATTGTTCTAGAAGTTTTTGAGCTATGTGGGATAAATATTCACAGCAGAGTTATACTCTGTGGAGCTGCTATAATGAATCCCTAGAATTTGCTATTCAGTATTTCTTGAAATTAAGTTCAGCTGTCATTTGAGTACTTAGAAACTAGGCTTCACCCTTGAAAGCAGATGTGCTTTATGACTCACTTAGCTAAATACCATAAATCTGGGTCAAAATCATTAAGGCAAAGATAACTGGGTACTTACTTTATTTTCAGAAGGCTCTTGCTCTCAATGGGCTGTGCTGTTTCTTGCTGCTTTACTCGTACTGCTGTTTTCCTCTGTTAAACATTACATGGCTTCAGATACATATTACCTAGAAGCACAAAGCTTAATTGTGATGAAGCCAGTGTTTTTGGACCTTGTATGCATATGTCCACATCTCTTCACTCCAAACAGAACAAAGACCACAGGACCCAGGCTTGTCAGTAGAGTGTTACATCCCAAAGGGTATGCAAATATTTATTGGAAATGATATTTTGGTGTCAAGAGGAGCTCTGCCCTGTGTGCTACCTGAGATGAATATTACTGTTCATGTGAAGATACAATTTTGCCCAGCACTAAGCTCTGAAGGCCAGGGTGAGGGAGCAACATCTCACCTTTTATTTCTACATAGCAAAAACCCCACTGGTTGCTTCTCAGAAGCCAATGAGTCTTGGCCTCATAAATAAAGAGGGTTGCTCATTCAGTCTTGTAGAAATGGTGAATTTTACGTCTGTGGCAATCTATTGAATGGTCTCCTCACAATCAAATGATTCTGTGTCTCTGTTAAGGACCACCTAGCCTATCAAGATCTGAAAAGTACTTAATTCAGAGCTTGAAAAAGCTGTATAAAATATGTGCTATCACTGCAAGTGCCCAAAGACGGCACTGAATAAATTCAACTGTTGTCATGTATACGGACAGCAACCTAGTCTCAAATGCATCAAACAATAGCAAATGATTGAAAAGAGTAACCCATAAATATTAACCAGTAATAAATCAAGGCAGTCTCAAACTGTGAGTCTCACCCTTCTTATAAAGATATATTTCCCAGGGATCTTCCAGAGGAAGATGAAGAGAAGTGCTGTGAAGCAGGTTCAGATGCATGGTTTGACCAGCCAGCCAGGAGAATGCCTGCTTTGTCTCTCTACACTCTGCTACACTTTGCAGGACTTGTTACTGGCTGCTCAGCAAGGGACAGAACAATCCCCTTGCTACTGTAGAGACAAGATGTAAATGTAAAACTGTAAACACAGCAGTTCCCAGTCCCCAGCTGTGTTGCTTTCAGAGGTCATTCTTCACCTGCTGGGATCCATGGCCCTGGTCATGCAGATGATTCTCTGAACGGTATTTACAGACTCAACTTCTTAAAAAAATTTTCCTTTTTTTTTTTTTTTTATAGTTTCAGAATACAGCTTAACTCTGCATGTTCACCTTAGATATAGCCAAAGTTTGCTGTTAATTATTTTGATTTAGAATTTGTACTTTTTCTTATTAGAGTACAAGTTGCTGCTGTCCCTTGGAGCGCTTGTGAAGGTCAGGTGAGTCTTGATGCAATAGCCTGTTTTCCTTTTTTGCCAGCCACAAAAACTCTTCATTTAAATTGAATGAATGTATAAACCAGAATGCCCAAGGGCACAAGTTCAGTCTTTCAGGGAAAACGAGAAAGATGCTTGTGATGCTCCAAGACAGTCAGGCTGTTGGTGGTTCTGGGTACTTCTTTATTCGTAGAGGTGAGCAGTATTAAATATTTACACTTCTGTTTAAACATTACATGGATTAAAAAAATACCTGTCTGAGGACACAGATAAGTGCTGATGTAGCCAAGCAGAGAAGATAGAAGTCAGTGCTCGCTGGGCCAGCTGGCTTTAATGTTTGTTGTCCCCAAACATGCATAATAGCCATCTGCAAACACAGACTGAAGAGGAGAGGTCCATGGCCGTGAGCAGCTGTACTACCTGGCACACCTCCCTAGGTTATTGCCAGCTAGTGACACAAGTGCTGGGGCATCTCCTGAAGTTATGTGTTATGTCCTGCACTGGGACTTTAGATTTTTTTATCATGCAGCTTGGGCACCTGCTTCAACATGGTACTATGGAAAGCAGATCAGAACAGGTAAACAGTATAAACTTGTGGGGTTTTTTTCCCCACAAATGAACTTGACAGCAGTTCAGAAACTGTCCTACATTCAGAGGCTTTCTTTGAGCCTTGGTTTGGTCACAACAGAAGAGGATCCCTGGGCAGTGGACTCCACTGTGCAGCTGCAGCAACAGGTAGCAGGAGAGAGAAAATGCTGTGAGGCATGGTTCACATAAGAACCTTTCCTACCTTTGTTTTTTCTAAGCTCTGTTATCCCATTGGCAGAACCCATGTGCTCATTTGTACTATAGATTGAGACTAATGTCAGGAACCCTTTGCTTTAATGAGTCTTTACTAATTTGCATAATTTCAGAGGTAAACATATCCATTTCAAACAATGATAATAGAAGCTACAGATGACGAATGGTATTGTCAAATTATCCAGGAGGAACATAGATCTATGATTCACATGTCAGTGAAATATAATATAGCAGAAGTTCAGTTTCTGACTGCCATTAAAATCATTACTTCAGGATAATGAATTTTGTATTTAATGATTTTAAAATGTGTTCAAGATTTTCTCTAGTTTTCTTTTAACATTTATCTATGTAAAAAGCCATCTCAATTGGGGAACCACAGTGAGAGGCACAACTCATTTATAAAAAGAAGTGCAAAATTGTGTTACCATTTTCATATTTCAAAGCCTTGAAAATAATATTTCAGAATTAAAGACTCAGGAAAGAAAGGAGATGATCTCATTTTGTTTCACTCATTAAACTCTAAGAAGTTTCCTTTCTATATATTGTATTTATTGATTCTGAGAAGAACCAGAATTTATGTGTCAAATACACTGTTTTCTGTGTTGTGTGAAAAGTGAACTGCTTAAATCCAAAAATGAATTTCTTAAATCCATGTTTATGGGCCAAACAAAAATATCCTAATAATCAGTCTGTGCTTCTTGAGTACATTTGGCAGATGTTTGAAATAAATGCTAAGGTGTTTGATATTTGCTGGCCAAGTCATGTTTTTATCCAGAAGCACTATTATTCCTAAGAGTGTAATTTTAAAACTACAACTTTGAAAACTCTAGTTTTGCTAGTGAAATTTTTTTCCATGAAAATGCTACTGGTCCTAAGTAGTTTAGTTTTGTTGGTTTTTTTTTTTTAGTATTAGTAATCATTGGCTTACAAGAGACTAAGAACAGTATAAGACATTCAAACACAGGCTCTGAATGCACTGAAATGTCTCAGTGATTTGCTTTGTTTTTCTTGTTAGCACACTTCTGAAAGAAACATAACTTTGCTCTTAGTTCTAGTACAAACACAGGTTGTGTGCAAAGTCGTTCTAATCTGATGCATTGTGTTTATCCTTTCAAGAGAGACAACCATATTGATTTTTGTCATTGATACTAAAGAAAACTCTCCCTTCATGTTTTCCCTTGGCTTGGACTGTTATCATTGCTGAATTTCTGTAAGCAGTTACACAGTGGCTGTTCAATGAGCCATACCTAACAAAGTAATGAGGTTTAATTAGCCCAACTTAATCTGACACTGTGCTGCTGGCACACTATCTTTTTGTACAGCTGGCTAGTGATGCATGTATGCATATGAAATAAAGATCACTCCTTAAAATTTTTCTTTGCTTCTTATATTGTGTAATTGAATTTCAAGTTGTCTTCTCCTATGGGCTCTGCTTCCCTCTGTACAGTATAAAAACGGGTCTCAGTTAAGCAGATTGACCTGTTCATCAGTTTGAGTTCGATAGAGGCTATTTTCAAGTTACAAATTTCATATTCTTCTTGTTTAATCACAGCAAAAGTTTGGATCACACAAGAAACCAAAATCTGTGCAGCCAAGCCCCCAATCCTTAATATCTCCAACGTGTAAAATTGTTTCAGGGTGCAAAAGCTCTGAGTATAGCATGCAGGCTGCTAAGACTGCATAAGGTCTGCACATAGGTAGTAATGGATTAAAGTTTACAACATCTTCCTTTATACTTAAAAGATATGATTTATACTTTTTTTAAAAAATTATGTTGATGTTCATCATGCCTTACATGGATTTACAAACTCAAAACTCTGAGCCAAGGTTTCATCAGTGTTTTTTGCTAGAGAGAGTTTAAACTACAGCTGTAATCGATGATAACTGCTGAGTAGTGAGAAGACAAGATTCAGCAGCCCTGGCTAGTGCAGCCTCAGTGTGCTTCCCAGCAAAATTCAGGAGGTCTTGGTGGGCAGATTTCATAGAAACAGAGGTTGGACAGTAAAAGTGTAAAGGGAGGTTGCTGATGCAGTGGTTCCTTGGAGCGATTTCATCCGAGGAAGCCCAGGGACTGGAAAAAGACCTACCTAGTGGAGAGCAAGGAACTGGAAATGCCAGGAAGAGGCTGAAATGAAAAAGCGAAGGAGATGTTCTGTGCTGCTGTAACAGAACACATGTATGCACTTGCTAATAAAATCTTGTTCAACTTCTGTCCAGCTACATTGTCTAATGGTTTCTTGCAGGAAACTTATAATCAATATATCAGAAACATGAAAAGTCAGAGATTATAGTCAGACATTAAAAAATATTTCTAAAACTCTTCCTCTATGTGAAGTATTTTACTATTCAGGAAAAAAATCATCAGCAAGTGTGTTTTCCCCATAGGTTTTATGCTTGTGCAGAAAAGTCTTAGGATCAAAATCTAGGATGGAAGAAACCTCCAGAGGCCACCTAGTCCAGCCCTTTGCACAAAACATCAGCTTTCTCAGGTACATGTCTCCAAGCACAGGTATTTCAAAACCTCTCTGGACCATGTCTTCTAGCGCTTAACCACTGCATGGTAGAAGCATGTTTCTTATTAGAATTTTCTACATTCAAACACTTCTGTTCTCTGCACTACTCTTCAGTGTCTTCTAGCTCCAGCATCATACATCTTTGTCATGATCCAGGAACTTCTGAACTGTCATTTGCAGAAAAACCATTGCATTTTCTCAGCTGGACCTTGCTTAGCATTAAGTGAGAGAAAACTTAAATGAGTATTCTGCTCTTCCATTTATCTCAGGGGAGGTCTTTGTAAAGCCAAATCCACGTGGATGCTTTATCCCCCTCCCCACCCCTATTCCAGGAGTACCTCACAAAAATACTTGAAGGGAGAAAATTAAATGTTCTTCTCACTTGTTATTGCCTAGATCTGCTTGTAAAGCCAAAATGTAAAATAAGCATTGCTCATGCCTACCTTCAGTAGAATCAGGTTTTGACTGCACTGCTGCTTTCCAGGAGATGTAGGTAATTTACAGCTCTTGAGAGGTACTATACAGAGCAGTAATCGGTTAGTTTGTGGAATTGAAACCCAATCACACAGTGGATTTTTTTATTTGCTGGCTGTCATTTACAAGATAAGGAATGGAATTAATATCTGAGTGAGAAAGCACAGAAAGCCATCAATGCTTGTTACAGAGGTTAATTTTATGCTAGTTTGGCTCTACGAACTCAAAGACCAGAGTAAAAATAATGAGGAAAAAAAAGGGGTTTAATTAATGTCTTTGAAGTAGTTTCCAAAAAAATATTGCCACCCAAAAAATCCACAGAGAGCCAAAAATCATTCCTTGTTTTTCCCAAAGAAATGAGTTACAAGACTTAGATCTCAGTGCTCAGTTCAGTGTTGCCAGGCTCTGTCAATACTGAAGTGTTTAGAGAGGCTGTTTTCCCCTTAAACTTCTCTTGACCTTTCATCATCATCCCCCACCCAAATTCCACCTCCATCCAAAGCAGATATGTCACATCCAACTGGTGTGCCTTGGAAAGAAAATGGAGCTGGGCTTCTTGGGGGATCAGGGGAGAACATTTTGAAAATGTCACTAAGAAAAAAACTAGATAAACATAGATTTTGTTTTTAAATATAGAAATAGAAGATATATCTGACTGTTCTTATTGCTTCTGAACTAACTTGCTCTTTTAATTTTGCTGTGTTGAATTAAATAGTATATCTTTGATGCCTTCATCTGCACACCAATACAAGTACCGAAAAAATACACCTTTTAAAGAAATAAGAATTAAAACTATGTGTTTATCCCAGCTGTGTTTTCTGACTCCTCTTTTTCTTTATTTTTTTTTAGTAAAGAAACTGAATTATTTCTTTAAGGGACCCCCGTGTTATACTATCCAAAAACTAGCCAAAAGGTGAGTCATCTTGGATTGGAATAGGTCTGAATTTTATTTATGATTCATAGCAGTGTATTGAATGAGTTGGAGCCTAAACTGGAGACTGGGTTTAACCCTACCATACCATATGTACAAATCAAAAAGAGAGAGGAAGCCACCACCTCACTAAGCCTGGCAAGGAGCAGTCCTTGAGCAGATAATGGTGTGGAAATTGCTGGTGGTTAAAACAGATATAAATATGTCAGGAAACTGCTGCAGTGCTCTGAAAATGTTACATGGCTTGGTGCAGGGAGAGCCCCTTTTACTCCCAAAATAAGGAAGAAGGAAGTGTTTGTGTCACATCAGCAGTCCTACACATAACCTTGCTTTGGGGAAAAAAGTTCAGAAAGCCAGAACCAAAGACTCAAGGACATCAAAATCTTAAGGAGTCAAAAGCTTAAAGCCTTATATATGCTCTGAAGTACATAAAAGGCTGTGCAAATGAAAGTGTGACAAAATGACACTGGAGTGCAAAGTTTCACAAGAGCAGCTATTTTCCCAATCCCAGTTCCCTTTGCAGAGAGGTGATGTCCTTTAGCACCAATATCAAACCCACCGTCAAAAAACTGTACCATGAGCTCTAATATAAGTCTTATCTCATGCTCACACCACTTGCAAGATGCCCCCTTCACCAAAATGTCCTCTCTGCCCTTTTTTTTATTGCTTGCACTTCACACAGCATAAGGCAACTGAATGAGAAAGTAAAAACAATCCTGGAGGCTGTAAATAATCTTCTGAGGAAGATTACTTCTTTTTCATCTTTTTTTTTCAATGCAGGAAGCTAGTGGTTTAGATTCTTTTAAGGGTATTGTGATAAAAGTCCAAGATATGTTTTTCAGTTAAAACAAACTTGTAGGTCCATTTAAACTGGAGAAATCTCATAAGCAATGTCAAAGTCAGCTACTCCAAGGGAATGAGAGATCTGAAGAATGGGTTGGAAAACCAACAGCCTCAGCTAGAGCATGCTTTGCTTATAGAGCTATCCACTTCTGATTGATTTGTAAACCTACTTCTTTTCCAGCCCTTTTTTCCAGATGAAATAACAAAAATGGAAAACCCATGTTGTATTTGAAGAAGAGAAATATTACTTTTTTCCAGGCCTTTGCAGGAGTCAGGTAACTACAGATATCTTTGTCTCCTGGCCAAATGACAGAGCACAAGCCAGGAATATAATATATAGAAGAACTACTGAGTCAATATTATGGCTTTCCATTAAGAAGACCTGGAACCATTTGAGTGAAATGCATTTGTTTGTTTTGTTCTTACTTTCACCTTTTGCAGTCTCCTAGGAGCCAGTGCCACAATTAAATACACCCCATTCCGGAAGCCAGGTTATCTAGCTCTGTTTTAGCCCCTCTAATACTTCAGACCTCTTAACTCTCTCTTGGCATTCATCTACATGCCACAAAGGTGATCAACCTGTGCACACTTTGTGCAGGTACCAGCCTTTTCTCCAGAGGAAGCATCTGGGCATCCATTGCAAGCTACCACCTGTACTGACATCTCCTTCCTTACCAGTCCTGCCTGGGTGGAGGCTCCTCAGAGCTGTCTCAGTAGACACACTGGTTTGGGCTCTGAGGCAAGAGCCCACCTTTACAGCAGAGACCTAGAGCACTTAGCACTTACCTGAGCTGTGGACCTCCTTGCAGACTGTGGTGCCCTGCCTGCACGCCCTGCCCACACCAAGAGCTGCACCACGCCCGACGTGACACGCACTGGCCATGCACTCCCAGAGCCATTTACATCTCCTGTGGATGCCCTGGCAGCATCCCCTCCTCACCAGGTTGGCTCACAGGAGCTCATGGATCCTGACAGGCCCTGGGCTGCTGCTCAGGTGCCCCTGAGCATAGGTGATTCTGCTGCTGGTAACTCATTCTGATATGCCAGGAGTATGCAGGGGGCATTTGAGGTTACCAATGCCCTTTGAAGGTGGTGGGAGAGCACTACTTTGAGGCATATATCTATCACACAGATTTCCTGAGCCTAGAGGTTATTGTGATCAGCAGGTGATGGCTGCTGGCTAAGAGGATATTGGCCTTGGCATGTTCATAGCTGCTGAGTTCCTGATGGCAACTGAGGCCACATTTTCAGTCTTGATTAATCACCAAGCTCCTTAAAAACTGAGAAATTAATAAAGTATTTCCCAGGAATATCTGTTAATTACCAATTGTGTGACAATTACTAGACTATCAGAAAGCAAAATTAAATGCATGGCATAATAGAATAATAGAATGGTTTAGGCTAGAAGGGACTGTGAAAATCATCTAGTTCCCAAGCCATGCCATGGGCAAGGACACTTTCCGCTACACCAGGTTTTCTCAAGGCCCCATCCAGCCAGACCACTGACACTATTAGGGATGGGGCATCCATAACTTCTCTGGGTAACCTGTTTCAGTGCCTTATCATCCTCACAGTAAAAAATTCAATCTTAATAACTAATCTAACCTACTCCCTTTCCATTTGAAGTAATTCCCCCTTGTTATGTCACTCCAGGCCCTTTTAAAAAGTCCCTCTCCATCTTTCCTGTAGGGTCTCTTAAGGTACTACAAAGCTGCAATTAGGTAACCCCAAAGCCTTCTTTTCCCCAGGCTGAACAATTCCAATTCTCTTAGAATTTCTTCATAGGAGAGGTGTTCCATCCTTATTTTGTGCATAAAACAGAATATTAGTTAGTCTTTCCAGCAGAATATGTAATTTGTTTCCAGCCCATGACATTTAAGGCTGTTGCTTCTGTCATGTGCTTTTTGTTTCTCCCTAGTGGATGCTCTACAACACTGGGAACCCAACGACAGACCTGTGCACTGGCACTAACCACTGGCTGTTGGAAATATGTCATTTTCTTTTATACCTCAAACATACTATTTCTTTCTCTGGCCCCACAACAATATACAGTTTCCTGCATTACCTTGTTTCTTCTTTTATGGTCTTTAACACTACTTAAAAATGCCTCTGGTTTTCTTTCAGTGTCTGTTGAACTTCACATAATTTGTAGATAACAGTTAAATCTATCTCCACCATGGGTTAGCCTGGGTTTCTTAGCTTCTCATTTATATCTTTAGTCTTTGTTTCACTTCTAGCTCCTAAATATGACAACAAATACAGTTTACTGATTGTTCTCCTTTTCTCCTTTTCTCCACACTGCTTGTTCTCCTTTTCTCCTTATTTCAGAGAGTGTCTCGGTGTGTGCTGTCCCAAAGTTTCTACCATGTTGCCAATTCTTTTTCTATGCCCATCAACCTACAAGAGAAGACTTCTTTTAGCCTTTACAGAGGCTACTTTGATCCATACCATCCCAGATTTCCCTCAGGGTCTGCACAGGCAGCACTGAGGCTGCAGCTCGTGCGCGCATGGTTGCATGTGCTCCCACGTCACATCTGTGTGTAGACAGACACCAGTGCAGGCTGCATTAGAAGATTTCCTTTGCACTTTGTCCCTCATGTGGCTCATCATGCCAGCTCCAGCCTCCAGCAATGCCCCTGCACTGAGGTGGCCCATCACAGTTTTTGCACTCAACAGCAGCAGCAGCTCTCAACCAGCTAGGATGAAAGTCCTTCCCTGGTTACTCTGAGGTTTCTTGGTCACAATACTCACAGCCAGAGAGCCAACCAAGAAACAAAAACCCATGAAAGAAGATGCAGAAAAGAAGCAGACTGAAAAAAGAAACAGTGTCCTGAGCAAACCGTGACTGCAGTGGGTTTGTGACAACCTTAATGCTGACATTTTTGGTGGGGGCTTGTGCAATCCTTTTGTGCTCCTTATTTACTGCACAAATTTGCTACAAATTTGCTGCACATTTTCAGTGAGGGGCATGCCCTGTTTTTTTGCCAAAATAGAATGAAAACCAAGGCAAGATGTGTATGGTTCCTACACCCATCTGAAAATGATTCCTTATCAAGACATTTTCTGGTCATCCAGTTCTTAAATCAGCTTCATTTTTGTATATCCACTTTCAAATGAATTAAGAGGAAAGGCTACTTCTCAGATTGAGATGTGGTGGGCAAGATAGGATTTAGATATTTTTTTTCTTACCAACAAACAGAGACTATTGATCTGAGGTCCATGAGGAACAACAAACACAGTCTCTTGATATTTGCCTACACAAGTATTTGTCATTGCAAAGCTGGACTTTGGCAATTCATCCTGAGTTAGCCCTGAGATTTGGCAAGAAGTTTTAAATGGTCTTCTGTAGAATAAATTTATCTGTATTACACTGAGACCAAGTCCTTATATGTTTATAGGCATGAAGCCAGCTACTTGTTACAAAATACAGAACTTACTAAATACAGTTATGAGTAAGGAACTTTTGTCATTGATTTATGTGATTTTGAGGATGAATTTGAAAGTGAATATTGAGTGTTACCTGTCTGCAGATAGACATAGAATGTTTTTTCTATTCCTCATTGGTATTGCGTTACAATTTACTCATATTGATGACACTGATTTAATGTGAAAGAAAATAAAGATCCCCAAACCAAAAAAAGAATTGTGTTTTAGAAGTATTCACCACAATTTTTATGTTATATTTTTCACAGACATTTTAAGAAACTAAGATCTAAAACCTTGTCATTTATATTTTTCTATCAGTTTAAGATATTCTGTAACAAAAGATTGAATCAGCCTATAATTTACATGTTTTCTTTGGCTTTCTATATTTTAATAAGATGCACTAAAGGTGTTGATTTAAAAACTAAAGCAAAAGATAATAAAATAATTTAAATATTTACTTCTTTGTAAGTAAAGTTATGTTTCTTTCATAACCATGCAACTATCTAGTGTAGCTGGATTCAAGGAACCTTAAGTTAAGAAAAGGTACAAATATCAATTCCCAGTCTGTTTTTACTCTATAACAGTAATCCACTGCTAACATTTAGAAAAGTGACTTCTGAAATATTTTCTGCATTTTTTTCTTTGTGTTTATGATAGCTTAAACCAAGTTAACAGTCCCTAGGAAGCTCTGCTGTTCCTACAGAGGAAATGCAAACTTTCTGGAGTTATAATTTTCATTCCTCCTTTTTTCTACCACAATCTGTCAAGTTGAGCTGTAAAGTGAGTACTGAAGGTGGCATCAGGAGAAACAAGAAATGACAGTGACAACAAATCTATAGAAAGGAAGATGGTGCTATGTCATGGACTACTCCATCAGGCTTTTATCTCAAGGCATTAGCAGCAATCGTTATGTTAGTAGAGTAAAGCGGAAGGTTTTTTTCTGCTATGGATTCCTTTCTTAGTAGAATTAAAATTATCTATACAGTAAAAGCAGCCTTCTTGTCTCCTTGCAGAGGGCTTCTGCTGAGGAGGAAACAGAGAAAGTCAAGCTAAAACAGCTGCATTCATCAGCCCTTTACATTGGTGTGTCCTCCAAAGTCTCGGTCACTGATCCTGCAGTTTCATGTCACATTTGGTTACAAAACCTATAGAAATTAATGAAAATTCACTCCAATTTTAAAGAGATCTGCATCCAAGAGTAGTCATCAAGGGTTAGTGGATTAAACAGAAAGAACTTACAACTTTCCTGTTCCTCCTTTCACATGCACACCCTATGACTGTACAGCAATGCCTACATCAATTGGAGACTTTGAACCAATTGAATACCCCACAGGAGCATGTCAGAAAGGGCTTCTTGCAAAGCTGGTGAAAAGTGGCTTGTATTTCATTAACACTACATGCTATATTCAGCTGTAGGTTGTGGAAAATCCTAGTGACTTTTGGACAAGGAAAAACAGTTTTTTGTATTTTAAGGGATTAATAAGTTTTCTAAGGATAATGGTTGAAAGGTGAGCACTAGCACAGAGTGGTACACATACATAGGTGTTTCACTAGATCACAGGAATATAGCCAGTGATGTGGATAAGTTTTGTCAATCAGTCATTTTGCTTAGGGTTTACAATTTTCCCAATGAAGAGGACAGTGTGGGTGAATTTATCCAGAATCACCAGGAGAAATGGTCTGTTGAATCTGACTCGAGGCGGGCGAGGAAAATCCCCAGATCTCCAGGTCACCTCCTTCACTGTGGCCCCGGCTGCCTCAGTGCCATTCTCATGAACATTCAGCATGGCTCTGTGGATCACCTGCAAGGAACAAAGCAAACTCTGACAAGCCAGCAAGAAGAGAGCAGCCTGCCACCCTCTTCACTTTGGCCAGCCCAAGGGAGCCCTGCCTGGAGCAAGACTGAGCAGCAGCAGCTTCTGGGAAGGTCATCACCAGTTGCTCCCATTCCCACCACAGCACCAGCTGCCATCGCACCACTCAAGCCATCCTCCTTCACTGCTTTTACAGAGAGTCATCCTCAAACTGCAGGCAGCCAAAGAGCACTCAAGATGACTGATGACAAGAAACTCTGGAAGCAAAGAAACCTGGTAATTTAGCCGAGACTCAATTTTGTCTTTGGCAGCTCCATGTATTATTGTGAATTTACCCTGTCATCTAGCTGAAAAAAATAACTTTTTGAGAACACTAGAAGGGCAGGAATAACAGTCCTTTTCCCTCTGTAGGAAGAATTAGAGGAAATTTTACCAAAGCTAATGCACTACATTTAGATAATTTTCTTTAGTAGCCAAAAGAACATTTAATTATATGCCTGTCTTCATCCTCCCACCATGCCTTTCTAACCCCTTGTAAGCGTGTTTGGCTTCAGGTTTATGAAAGACATGGCTTTCTTTGCCTCCAGACTGGCAGCTAGTGATAATTGAGTGATGCTTCAGAGAGACTGGGATAAGCTTTTCATGGGATATTAATGTCAGGTTCCTGGGAGCAGGCAAATCCTGTGGTTGCTTTCACATGCTGACTTACTTTTGAAACCTTCAGTCCAGGCTCCTCAGTAATCCCAGAGAGATCAGCTTGTTCAGTAAACAGATTGACCATACCCATTTGTTTGACTATATTTTTCACATCATAGGTACCAGAAATAGAAAATTTTGGAATGTGCAGATGTATCTTTCTGTAATAAACAACACAAACAGGGAAAAATCATGACAAATCAACACTCCTTAATGGCTTCAGTATTCATTAATGACTAGTATTCACTAGACACTTCACATTTGTTTTCCTAAATGTTTACAGCCTTCTCTCAGGGTTTAGATAGCACTTCGGGTCAGGTTAGCTGCCTGAGTGGAGGGTTGGAGCAGAATAAGTCTGTGCTAGTCTGTGCCTCTGCAGTGGGGTTCAGGGAGTGGGGCGGAAGACACAGCTACACCAACTCAGTGGCAAAAAGAGCTACTACTGAGGGTAGGAGGGCTCTTTCAAGAGACTGTAGCCAGCTGACCTAAGGCTGTTCAAATACACAACAGGGCCTTGGCCACCACAGAAATAGCTGCAGTAATGGTGAGTTAATCCACTTTTACACAGAATGCCCTCAACACCCTAACACCCAAAAGCTACTCCATTGTAGTTTCCCAGTGCTTGTATGAAACAAGGGTCTGTTGACCTCATCATGGTGCTAAGCAATTTTTGGCTGAGCCAGGAACTTAAGATGAATCCCAAGTTCAATGACCTATTTGTTCACTAGCTACAGCTCTATTTCATTTTCCTTTTCCAACTAAGAAAAGGGAAGTCCATCACAGAGGAAGCAGTAAGTGTATAGAGCTCAGTCAAATAACTGTCCTTTACAGTTTTGTTTTGGTGAGATAAACACTACTAATCTGTAACAGGGTCACCTCTCGCCTCAGTAAAAAAATCTTACCTGTCCTGGAGGGACTTTTCCCATTTAGTTACAGTTCTTTTCAAGAGGGCATCTTCTACCAGCTTCATCTTCCCTTCATCAGGCAAAACAAATAATGCTGCAACACCTCCACTGTAAGGTATCTGAACCAGCCAACAGGACAGCTCTTCATCAAAATAATTTCTGTAGTAACCCTTTCGATACATCATGTCAACTTTTACAGAAGTTTTCTGATCCACAAAAAAATCTTCCTGTTTTGTCTGTGCTGTACTGAAGGGTTTCTCCCAATGGGCTTATGACAAAAAGAAAATTTGTTCAGTGGAATACAAAGAGGAATTGTCAAAGTAAGTAAAACAGGACCTAGTCCCACAGCCTTCCTTTCATTAGAGTAAATATCCTTTTTTATCCTATTTTACTGCATCCTCAGGTGCTACAGCATTGTAATTTTTTTTTTAGGTGCTCAAAGACAATTACAGACACATAATACTAAAAACACTATCTTTCATTACAGTATGAGTCTATGATCACATGACAAAATTAACCAAACTCAATAAAGATACTTGTTTTAAAATTTCACTAAAGCAGATATTTTTACTGGCAACAAATATATATGGATTTATAGTGATACTTTCCAGATACTGAACATGATTTCCTCTATTTGAAATATTTTAATTTTTTCTCTTTTCATTCTCTGTAAAAAGCATTATCTTTGCACCCTTTGGTATATCTTACCTTTAAAGAAGACATAGTTAACAAGAACCATTGCAGTCAGAGGATCAAGATTTTCCACTAGTTTTAAAATTTTCCCATTTGTCTTTTCCTCAATATAACTGTTGATCTGATTCTCAGCACCAACAGAGTTGTTAAAGTCAGTAGAAAATACTTCAGACTCATAAATGCTTTTGACATCATCCAAGAACTTCTGTAGTGGTTTTAGTGTCTCTTCTATAAAAAAGGCATTGCCCAGGCTCAGCTGGAACTCACTGTCTGAACGGTTCAGCATGTGGAGGAGTTGGCCAAAACCTTCATGTATTTCCTGCTCCTGAGTCTTTTTCAGGTTAAAGGCAAGCCCTTCCAAAATCTGTGTCAGTGTTGCAGCCCTGGCACCAAGTGCCAGCATTGCAAAGGAGACAGAGATGCTTATGGGTGAAAAGAAAATATTTTTGTGTGCTGCTTCAGATGCGACCAGCTTGTAAAAGGAAAATGCAAAGTCAGCATTGCTGAAAACTAGTTTGACAAAGGTTTTGTTCTTAAGTGGAGAAGCTTCTTCCCACTGAGAACTACGTCCTGGATAATATGTCCCTTTAGCATCATTCTGCTTATTACGGTAGCGAGGATGCTGATGACACAGGCCAACAGTATGCAAACCAACCAGCAATAAACACAAGGAAAAAGTCAGCTTCATTTTGCTTTCAGCTCTTTCTGGAAAAGAAATAGACATGCAAAACATGGAAACTAATTTGGATACACTTCAAACTGTATCCTCCAGTAAAGTAAAATGATGTTCTCAGATCATACCTGTTCCTCAAAGCCCCCACACTTACAATTCACATTTCTGATGTATGCCAGTGATCCCTGGAAAGAATACACCTCCTGATTCCCTATTTATATATATATATATATAGACTAGTTCTCTTTCAAAAGAGGTAATTAGAAAGTTTAAAAAAAATTTTAACTTTAATATTAGCATATTTTCTTAAAATTTGTAAATAACTGGAAGCTTATGACCTT